CTGCATGTCTCATTTTGTCTGGTCTGGAATGCACTGGAACTGTGGGCAGGTTCACACCATTTTCCGGACCAGATCTGGTCTGGAAAATGGTGTGAACCTGCCATTATGGACAAGAAGGACCAGGAGGCAGAGCAGTTTCTTCTTGTTGGCAAGTTGCCTCTCAAAGTGCCCCCCTTGAATGCCATTGTCGCTCCATCACCGTCACTGACATTTTTGCCCAGTTATTATCCTGGTTTAAGGCCCTCAGCCATATTAACTGGGTGGCCCAGGGCAGATGGGAGCCCGGTCAGGAGGCCGGGGCCCGCACCAGAGATGGAGGAGGCCGGGCCCGGCAGCGGTGCAGGGTCTTAGGTGGGCTCTTCTAGGTCTATGGTGGGCTCTGCAGGGTCTATGGTGGGCTCTGCAGGGTCACTCTCAGGTGGGCTTTGTGGATGTCAGGTGGGCTATGTGGGTTCTCAGGTGGGCTCTGCAGGGTCTCTGGTAGTTGCTTGATCTCAGTTTGGCTGTGCTGAGTCTCAGGTGGGCTGTGCAAGGTCCCAGGTGGGCTATGCGGGGGGTCTCAGGTGGGCTGTGCAGGGTCTATGGTGGGCTCTGTGGGGTCTATGGTGGGCTCTGCAGCAGTAAAGGGTGGAGTGATATGTTCCAGCAGGAGCAGAGCTACAGAGAAGGAGGCAGCACAGGCACGGGAGTGTGTTCTGGAGGCAGGTACTTTTTTTGTGTGGGGGTGGCGGATTTGGAGCCCCATACAAAATTTTGCAATGGGGCCCTGTGATTTCTAGTTACACCCCTGACCAGTATATAATGATTATTATATAATTGGCCAAGTTTGGTGACATCTGTAGGCTGCCTTGTACTTCCAGTCCAGCTCTGATCGCGAAGCGTCCCTATCCAGCATGGCTTCAGTGGCCTGTTTGGGGTTAATCTCTGGAACGAGTCACATGACAGGGGGATGAATAATAATAAATGTGATTATTCCAAAGCAATTTCGCTGTTAAATTAATGAGATGGCTGTGTTTATACTTAGGATCAACTAATGAAATTGTTATGTTGTGAAACAAAACATTTCCTTGTGTATAGCTCAGTCACACGACTGCCACCTCGGCCTTCTGCCTCCACGCAGTGTCACAAAGCAAGACTGGGAGGTATGGACAGCCAGTTCTCTCCCCTCACGTCCAACCTCTGTTATCTACACTTGGCCATATTATATAGGTAAATATGAGAACCAGAGGGGATGGTATAAAGCAGGGGTTCTTATTTGGGGGGTATTTATACCCCATGGTGGTATGGGAACCAAATTATTATTTTGTTCCCATACCCACACCATTTGGGTTCCATAACCCCATCATTTGGTTACTGTACATCTATGGGAACAAAATGATGGGGTATCGGAACAAAATGATTAGGGGATATGGCAACAAAATATAAAAACATAAAATATAGGAACAAAATGAGGAGGATTTGGGAACAAAACAATGGGGTTTTGGAAACAAAATGATGGGGTATAGGAAGCAAATGATGGGGTATGGGAACAAAATTATCGGGTTATGGGAACCAAATTATGGGGGTATAGGAACTAAATCATGCGTGTATGGGAACAAAATGATGGGGTTATGGGAATAATATGATGGGGGTATAGGACCCAAATGATTGGGATATAGTAACTAAATAAAGGGGGTACAGGACCAAAATGATGGGGACCAAAATGATTTAAATAGTTTGGACTTGATGGACTTATGTCTTTATTCAACCTCAAATACAATGTAACTAAATGATGGGCTTATTGGAACCAAATGATAGGGGTTTAGGAACTAAATAAGGGGGGTATGGGAACTAAATGATGGGGGTATGGGAACTACTGTAAATGATGAGGGTATGGGAACCAAATGACGTGGATAAAGGAACTGAGGGATGGGTGTATGGGAACAAAATGATGGGGGTATGGGAACCAAACGAGGGGGGTATGGAAACTGATTGATGGGGGCATGGAAACTAAATGATAGGGGGCGGGGCATGGGAACCAAATGATGAGGTATGGGAACAAAATGATGGGGTATAGGAAACAAATGATGGTTTATGGGAACAAAATGATGGGGTATAGGAAACAAATGATGAGGGTATGGAACAAAATGATGGGGGTATGAGATCAAAAATATGGGGGTATAGGAACAAAATGATTGGGTTATGGGAACCAAATGATGGGGTACAGGACTCAAATGATGGGGGTATTGGAATTAAATGATGAGGTTATGGGAACCAAATGATGGGGGTACAGGACTCAAATGATGGGGGTATTGGAATTAAATGATGAGGTTATGGGAACCAAATGATGGGGGTATAGGAACTAAATCATGCGCTTATGGGAAAAAAATTATGGGTTTATGGGAACAAAATGTTGGGGGTACAGGACCCAAATGATGGGGATATAGGAACTAAATAATGGGGGTACAGGACCAAAATGATGGGGTTATGACAACTAAGTGATGGGGTTATCAAAACCAAATGATAGGGGTTTAAGAACTAAATGATTAGGGTATGGCAACTACTGTAAATGATGCGGGTATGGAAACCAAATTACGGGGATATGTGACCTGAGTGATGAGGACATCGGAACTAAATTATAAGGGCGTGGGAACTAAATGATGGGTGCATAGGACCTAAATGATGGGGGTATGGGATTGGATCTCTGAATAAGGAGGCATCATAAATTGGAGATGCTGTTGACCAAGGTTGGACTAGGAAGTAGATTTCCTTGCGGGTCATTATCCTCTGATAGATCTGAAGATTTCACAAGCCGAGGTTACTCAGGGAGGTTACTCAGGGAGTCAGGGAACTCGCCCGGCTCTGTTTGTCTGTATTGTTTTTCTTCCCTTCATGCCGTATCTGGGTGGGAAGGAATCATATCCAGTTCGTTCCCTCTACGTGTGAAGCCAGTTGTCTGAGATCCAGTCTGGCTGGAATTCTCCTCCGGCTTTGCAGGACTGGTGAAGACAGAGGACTGCAGGGCTCTGGGGTAGACAATTCTGAGTTGGCTCTGACAATTTTTCAACAGTTAAATACAAGTTATTTCAGAATAAGAAAACTTTGAAGAAATGTTTGTAATGGTTTGAAAGCTTCTGGGAAAGGAAGGCGGCTGAAGTCCCGAGTGTAAAGAACCGTGCACTCCGGTTCTGCTGCAAAGAAAACAATCTCCTCCAGTTTAGTTGAGTGAAGAGTGAAGCAAACTTTGTTGGAGGTCCAAACCTGTTTCTGTTCTCTAGAGTCGTCTTTCTTAACTGGGGTGTCGTGGCCCCCTGGGGTGCCTTCTGACTTCCTCAGGTGTGGCTCTAAATTTTCATACAGCACCATGTGTTTCTATGGTGCAGGAGGGCCACCAGTACCATGGAAATGAATGATGCTAATCCGCGGTGCTTGAGATCCATTCATAAAATGATGGGAGTTCTGCTCCACCTCCTGCCCTCCACCATGCTGCCACAGCTGCGTTCTGATGTGAAGGGGGGACTCTGATGTGAAGGGGGGACTCTGATGTGAAGGGGGGACTCTGATGTGAAGGGGGGCCTCTGATGGGAGGGAGGACTCTGATACTCTGATGTGAAGGGGGGACTCTGATGTGAAGGGGGGACTCTGATGTGAAGGCAGGACTCTCATGTGAAGGAGGACTCTGATGTGAAGGGAGGACTCTGATATGAAGGAGGACTCTGATGTGAAGGAAGAGTCTGATGTAAAGGGAGGACTCTGATGTGAAGGGAGGACTCTGATATGAAGGTGGGACTCTGGTAAGAAGGTGGGACTCTGATATGAAGGAGGACTCTGATGTGGGGGGGATCCCCATTTTTTTGCTTTAGGTCCCCCTTAAAATCAATACCTCGCTGCTATCTGGGATAAGGGTCCGGTATGGATTTTGAAGGGTCCACGCGTCGTTTTTGGGGTATAGGAAACAACTTATGGGGTATATATATATTTTTTAGACTGGGGCGCCACAAGATTTTTCATACTTTTGAAGGGTGCTGTGAGTGTGCAAACGTTGAGAAACGCCGCTCTAGATTCCATGATAAATGTTCTGAAATCTTTCAATGCTGGCCACAGACAGCTCCAATCTAAGCCAATTCCTGCTGAATAAGCCGAAATTTGAGCCATGTATCGCGCTGCGAGCACCACCCGGCCCACCAAAAGTCATCTGAGACAGGTGAGGAATTACCGGCTGGATGGTGACTGCGTCCTTGTAGATGCGGCCACACTTCGGGTTTACATCTCTACAAGGATGAAACTCTCAATGCAGTAACCATGAAGACAATTAATACAAGCAGCATAAGTATCTGAATGTGACCCGGTATCTGCCTTTTGCAGTCCCAGTAAAGCAGGGCTGGTGTGTGAGAGGAAGAATCAGTACAATGAGCCAATCATTTCATGTGCTGGCAAGAAGCATGTTCACAGGAGGAAATAGCAGAGTGATAGAGAGATGAGCTCATCACTATACTGTTTCTCCTTTCACTGTCCAGTCACAGGCTGGGGGCAGGTCCAAGATGACCTGGGCTCAGAAGAAGTGGGCTAAATGACTCCGGCCGTCAGGCTGAGGACATCCAGTATAAGAATACTGCAGCGGTAAATTTCTATTTTCTTTCCCAGTCTTTTGTCAGTGGCAATGTTACATAAGGGCAGGTTACTACCTCTCACTTTTCTTCCTGGAACTCTGGCACATGTGATAAGGACATGTGAGCATGTACATCATCTCAAGGGAGGAAAATGCCTTTTCCTAAGCTGAGATTTCCCAGCAATGCTCTGCTGATCCCGAATCCAGTGTTGGGTTTACAGAAAAAACTCACAGGATTAGTGTACTTTGCACAGTGTCCTGCAAAGGGAGGGGCAGAATAAGGGCTGACATTACTGTTTTGGCTCTGCTGCCCATGACCAAAATGGCGCTCTTGCCTCTCGTTGCCAGGGAAACCGGCGGAAGCGGAATTTGACGCAGGCAGCTAGTCTCCATGGAGATCGACGCAGGAAGCGGAAGTGACGCTTTCCGGAGAAGATGGCGACTCCCAGCTTGCTGCTTTCACCTGTCAGTCGGCTCCTCCGGGTCGGTTTGGGGCTGCTGAGCCCGGCGGGATGGAGACCATTAGCGGTGCCGAGCCGGGGCATGAGAGAGTGTGAGTGCGGGAGGGTGGGAGAAGTCACGTGATGGGGGGAGGAGGAACTGGTTGACCTCCAGGACATGATGGGTGCTGGGCGGTGGTGTTCTACAAAGAGGACCTGTCATTGATCATTGCATGGCTCTCCAAAAAAACATTCTGCGGGCTTCCTCCTGTCAATATTGCTGTGTGCAGGAAGTTTTGTGTGTAGTATAAGTGAGATGTTATAAGAAAATCAGCCACTTTCTTGTCTCTCACCAAAGGGTCGGATTCTATGACATCAGACTTTTCTCCTTATTGGAGGGTATTACCGTACCCTCCCCCATCATGGTCGCAGGGAGTAGAGACTAAACGTGAAGCCGCACCGTGACCCCATTGTGGCACAGTGTGGGCCCTGGGAGCAGAGAGTTAGAGAGTCAGGGACTTTGTGGATGCAGAACTGGCCGGGGGAATAGAATGGGGCCAGTGGGCACACTGTGTCCAAGGACACACAGCTGGGGTGCACAGAGCAATCCCTTGGGTGAATCGAGCACATTGAGGGGGGGCCTGGGGTGTGTTGAGCAGGACCTAGGGCTGCATAGAATGGGGCTGAGGGGGCAAAGTGCAATCCAGGAGGTT